ACAACAATCATCATCATCATAATAATAACAACGATAATAATAATAATAATAACAATAATAATAATAATAATAATAATAACAATAATAATAATAATAATAATAATAACAATAATAATAATAATAATAATAATAACAATAATAATAATAATAATAATAATAATAATAAGATTCTCATGATTTTGAGATTCTTGAGAATTTGAATAATACCATGTTGGGTGGTATTCAAATTACCTTAAAATGAGGGAAAATGAATCTCATGATAATCACTTTTTTGAGAATTTAAAAATTATAATTCTTGTACTAAATATGATGATATTGAAATGGCGCCACGGGGGAGCACGCTATGCACGCGTATATTTGTGAATCGTGTAGAATTTAATTGCAGGTTTATCTATCTAAAAAAAATGTAGAAGAGAGTATATAGGCCTACTATACTGATAAATACGACTATGTTTACTAGTGTGATGGATTGAATATGAATCATTGCTTAAGATTGGAAAGGATAATGTTAAGTAATGCTGCGCGTTGCTTTTGCTACATTAATGTTGGATTAAATGGATCAAAAAATAATTCAGAACTGTTTGGGATTGTCTTATTTTCATCAAATGGTATATATATAAGGCGCTTTTGAAACGTGAAATATATTTGACTTTGTATTACAATTGATTTGGAAAAAGTAAAAACTAATTATCATGAAATTACAATTATCAGCACGCTTATAAAATCTCCGTTTAGACTTGGCTGTCAGCACATTCATGAAGTCATCTTATTAAGACCTGGACAGTTAGACACGATCAAGAATGTTACCGGACATTGTCAGAGAATTTAAGTGTAGAGGATGAAAAGAATGTTGAAAATAAGAGGGTATAGTTTGTTTTAAGGTTTTATTTGCAATTACTTCTTAAAGTTTATTAATGAGTTTTTATTGTAAATTACTCTTAAGATACAACAAACCCTTGAACACAAAATCTAGTAATAATATTGTGTTTTAGAACATGAATTAAGTCTATAAATTATCTAGAAATTATTAAAAGACAGAAGTATCATTTCTTGAATAAACACATCTTCTTCAAACATCACAACCATTCACATAGAGGTACTTTTTCAATGTAAATGTATCTCTTCATGGATATATATATATATATATATATATATATAGAGAGAGAGAGAGAGAGAGAGAGAGAGGGGGGCAATATATATGCTTTTGCAAGGTAATATATATATGCCCTACATCTTTTGTAACTGAATAAACTGAGAGAGGATGTTCTGCCTAGGTTGCAATTCATCATCTTTCAAATTCGAGAGTGCCTACTTACTATGACAAATATTATAAAGTAAAATATTTCTATTAGATATTCAATTAGTTTTTTTCCCCCTACTTAGGCTATATGTTCAAGCTTCAAACAGATATACATATATATATATATATATATACTGTGTATGTATGTATGTACACTGTGTGTGAGATCAAAACACAAAACTCAGTCCATTTCCACGTACCGATCTTGGTCGCTAACTTTTGATTCGACCTTTACTTTTTTATCTGCATGCATGTACGCATATATCGTCAATAAAGGGAGCAAAATAAACAAATTAACTCACAAAATAATGAAAATAGTTAAAGAGATCATATATATATATATATATGAATATGTTCCAAATTAAAGATATATACTCACCATGATCAGCTGAAAAGAGAGGCAAGAGGAGGAAGACGAGGAGCATAATGAATGTGGCACAACGAATTATGAAATATTTGGCCATGATGGATCAAGTGCATAAATAATCAAAGCATATATATGGACTTGTTAGACTTAATTATAAAACATTCGAGAATAATGACCTTGAATGGGTCATTAATCAAGCAGAATCTTGTTACATTTTATAGAAGTGATTAGGTACCATTAGATATATAGTTGAGAGGTGTAAATTTCTTCACTTTTCTGGTCAGAAAGAAAATATGCATTGGTCATTTGATATTGCCAAGAAGCTAACGTTGAAATTGGTGAGAGACTTCTACCTGCCACTAAATTGAGATGATTAAGATATAGAGAGAAATCGTGTGGTTGTTGTTTTTATTTTCTAGATATAAAAATTCAAAATGAAAGAAAAGATGCTCAATCGGTATACTGGTAGAATACTCGAATGACTTTTGTACATGGAATAGCAAACTATGATTGGTTGACGATTTTATTCGTCGATCAAACCCGCCAACAAAGACACAATCCCTTCTAATACCACCTCCGCATTACGATTTAAGAATTTTGCCCTTTCTTTATCAAAGATCCCCAGTACAACTTGTACATATTAGTCTGATCAACTCGTATATAGCTACTTATCAATCATTGGTTAGCTGGTTAATTATACAGCCTAGAAACGAGTCGGGACCATCCTAATAAGGCAAAATATGGTTATTTTATGATTTTTGAAGATTTAACAGGGATGCGTATTTTTGGGCAAAATGACAGTTGCCTCTTATGGAGCACTAAAAATATAATAAGTCCTGAAATGAAAGCAACTTTCATTTATTAGGCAAACCCAAAAATTCGTATTCGTGAACCAACTTGTGTTTTTCTGTTGGATGACCAAGTTCTGTGTTAATGTAATTTTAACTAGATCAAAATTCAAAAAACATGCATCAGTACTCGATAGTGACCACTAATAAACATCGAAAACAAGTTCAGAGTTGATGTAATTTTACCGGTTCGTTTATCATATTTGAATTGAGAACTTTTTAAAATTTATATAATAGAAAATACTGTATACTCATAAACATCGAAAACCAAGTTCTAAGTTGATGTAATTTTATCCATTCATTTTTCAGGTTTGAGTTGAAGGAACTTAAACTGAAAAGTGAACTTACGTGGAGAAAACACAATAGCACAAAACAAACAAGAACTTTAAAAGTCCAGAAAGGCAACTATTCTCATTGCAGGCAAACGCAAAACTTTGTATTCATGTAACAAGGTTCAGTTTAGTTGTGATTTTAACCAAATCTAAAGTTCTAAACAAATCACTTTATAGTAGAAAGCTTCACGCTCTTGAAACAAGAAGCGGGCTTTCCCAAAACCTTAAAGACTTGTACTACATTTTAAACCAAGAACATGCAACAGAACTCTCAACTTTACTTTAACCATTTTTAGCGTTTTCAATGTCAAAGTTCAGCGACATCAAATATCTGTCCATACGCATTTAACCAATTGGGAGAGGAAAAAAGAACCTCACTCATAAGTAAAGAGAAAAATGAATGAGAGCTCAAAACGAAACATTCTCAATTACTCCAAAAGCAATCCTTCAAAACAGGAAACATGACAAATGGTGTCTAAAAAGAGCTAACATTCTCACATCACAAAACTTGACATAACAGTATTATAGCACGAAACTCAACAAATACTTAAATAAACCAAATAAGCATGGGCACTAAGAAATTTTAGGTGTTCGTTGCTCTTGTGTAGATCTGCTGGCTTGCATGAGCAGACACCAACCTGATCAAGCCTCTAGCCATCAATTCTCTAATTGCCTTCCTTGCGAGAGATCCACTAATCTGTAAAGCGCAATGCAGAAGAAAATAAGAACATGCAGCAAAAATAAAAGAAAAACGCAAAAGAAGCAACAAAGCCAACGTTAAACATAAGGCTAATAATAACAATCTTTAACCCGCTACGTGATAATATTATGTCGTAGAAAAAGTTTAACTGTATGCAAATCTTATTGTCAATAATGGTTCTTCGCAAGGTAGCATTATCAATGGCACTGACCAAACTAAAAACCAAAAGCACATAAAATTTTTGGAAAATACGCCAACCACATGGCGTGGAAGCACAACTCTATACAAATGTGTAAATTTGGCATACATTAAAAGGAGACTTGCCCTCAGCAAAAAGCTTGCCTCAAACATAAGAAGCACGCGCCTCTTGTAATCCTCTTGAGGCTTAAGCCTCGAGGCTTTTTTACTTCATGTCTCCATTGTTGTATAAACAATACTACTCACATAAAATGTTTAAAAATTGAATCCGTGGTACACCTCACTCCGAGTCGAAAAACAAGTCTTGTGTAAGCCCAAGAGAGGGGATTACATGAGGCTCCTGCCTCTTAACAGTGAGGCGGGCCTCAAGGCTTTTTCATGAGGCGTCAAGTCCTTGCCTAGAAAACAGTTTTTACATCAAAATCCATCCGAGAATTTATACAAAACCTACGAAAACCTAGAAAATGTTGCTGCTGCCAAGAACAAAAGGCAGCAGAAGCAAAAGTTATTTCTACTGAAATCAAAACCTAAAACACAATGAGTTATTGGCAACTTAAAAAAGTCTCAGTATTAGCAATTTTAAACAGTGATAATATAAATAAGCCAAAAACACATATCAAGTACTTTATATGTAGTACTAAAGCCCCTAATCTCAAAAGGGACATCGGATATTTTACGAACAAAAGCACCAACGCAGATCAATTAAAGTTCTATATCTCCCTAAAAAAACTTTTATTCTTAAGAAGAAAATTCAGAACTTGAAGCCATCATCACCATTCAACAAAGAAAAAAAGAAAAGAAAAAAAAAACATTTGCAACATTTACATCAAACAAACCCATCAACAAAATATAAATAAAAAAAGGGAAGAGAAAAGAATTACCCTCAAACGATCCGAGAGAATGGAGGGAGTGATGAGCTTGTACTTGGGAGCCTCAGAGAGAAGCTTGTCGTAAGTGGCCGGGTCGAACAGCACCATGTTGTTCACCTTCTCCTTTTGCTTTCCCTTGCTCCACTTCTGCAATTTCCAAAAAAAAAAAAAAAAAAAAAAAAAAAAAAAAAAAAAAAAAAAAAAAAAAAAAAAACCCCAAACAATAAAGGCATTACAATCTTGACCAAAAATACTCCGAAGAACAGCTAAATTTCAGATTTTGCATCGAAAACAAAAAAAGAAGAAACTTTGAGATAATTAAGAAGCGGACCTTCTTCTTCTGCTTGCCGCCGCCGGACTTGGCGGGCTTGGAGGACGGTGGAGGAGCCTTGTCCTTCTTCGGAGCCTGAAAAGAAAACCATGAATATCTCATCAGATCTTTAGAGAGAGAGAGAGAGAGAGAGATATGAAGAGAGGGAGAGAGAGAGAGATATGAAGAGAGGGAGAGAGAGAGAGATATGAAGAAAGTGAAGAGAGGGAGAGAGAGATGGTCGAAGGTTTACCATGGCTGGATCGAAGGAAAAGCTACGAGAGAGACGTAAGGCGAGAGGCTGGAGAAGAGGCAGTCGCCGAAGCAGAGAATGATGAGAAGTGGGAGAGGATGAGAGTATATTAGGGATTTTTACAGCTAGGGTTTCGATGAGACGAACCCACGACACAACGTCGTTGTTTTGGGTTTGGCATCTATCATGGCCTTGGTCATGTTAAATGGGCCTGCCCATATGGAAATTTGATGGCCCATTTTAATAGGGCTGGGATTCCCTTCGAGTCAAAGCCCAATAGGACTTGGAAAGTTCAAAAAAAAAAAAAAACAGAGAGAGAGAGATAATTGCTCTACTAGGGCAAAATTTCATACTTGAATTGAAATTTTATAAAATTTTCAAAATATTAGAAAAATAGCAAAAATAAGAGTAATTATCATAATAAGATCATATTTTGTCCTATATAATGATATAGTTATTATATTAATGATATCAAATTTTGCTATATTTTAACATTACTACTTAAATTTTGTTGTATCTGTAAATAGGCCCCAAAAAAAGTAGGAAATATATCGGCGTAATTATACTACATGATAAAATTTTATAAAATATTATAAATATAGTAAAAATGACATAATCATTATCATAATATGATGTCACATTTTATACTATATAATGATAATAGTCGTTATAATGATATCAAAATTTTACTATGCATTTAAACTCTACTTTTGAAATTTTACTATATGTGTAAAGAGCACATATATCTATGCATCCCTTGACTTACGCTCTTTACACATATATCATTGCGTCCCTTGACTTGCGCTTTTGAGTTATTCTCTTAGAATTTTGTTCTTTTAAGTTATTATTTCAAGAGAGTATGTGAGAAAAAAAAAAAAAAAAAAAAAACCCCTATAGTAATAAAGAAATGGTATAGATCTATATACTCACTAGAGGTGTAAGTTTGGGCCACCCAACCCAAGTTAGGAGGCCTAAAGAGAAATTTCAGGCCGGCCCGGTCCTGCTCAGAATTTTATAATGTATTTTTAAAAAAAACTTAAAACTATAATATTTGAGTCGGCTTTAAAAGAGAGAGGGTCAGCCCAATCCAGCATAGCCCTAACCCTAAAAAGTTTAAAGCTGGACCGGGACCAACAATAGCTCTAATACTCACTCAGTGGAAGAGCATCCATTTAAATTTTCCGTTGAGAAAGTTGGAGAATATAACACTCTTTAATTTCTTTTTTTATTTTATGTAATTTATTTAGAATTTCATAGGTTTTAAGTGAGCATATAAAGAGAGAAAATGAGTACAAAAACCTTATGATATTTAGAAATGACATAAATATTTATGCTCTCCCACTAGAGGCTAGAGGGGCATTCTTTTAGCTGCAAGTCATCTTGTCAATGCTAACTTTAAACTGACGCAAAGATAGGTTTTCATTACTCGATTATTCTTCATGTTTAATTGTATATATTTTTTTAAATAAAAACAGTATGCAGAAGGTTATATATTACGTATAATATTAAAAACTTTTGCATAAAAAATTGAAACATTGTTTTTATTTTTAATTCAAAGTCTTATTTGTGTATGATTATTTATTTATTTTTCATCTTAAAATTACCCAATCAAATAAATGTTGTATCACGAGTTAACAAGGCGAGGATGAAGATTGTTTTCCTATATTTTACTTTTGAAATTTCTTTCTTTTACCAAATAGGAAAAATATAGTATGATTAAATCAAAATACTATAAAAAATAAATGAAAATAAAGAATGTTAGTTCTTTTTTTTTTTTTTACACATCTCCTTAATTTTAAAATTTATTATGACAAAAAAATCTTATTATAAAATAGTAAAAGAGTGCAACCATAATAGTAATTAAAAATTCAAATTACCTTATCTATTATATATTAAAAATGTGTTAAAGTAACTAAGCAAGTAGGTGTCTTTTCATTTTCCTTTCTCAAATTATGTCTCTTCTATTTTTTTGTTTTCACTTTTTTCTCTGATTGACTTTTATTGTATACTATTTGTCCACTTATCTTCATTATTGAATTTATTTGTTTGCCCTCTTTCCTTGTTAATTAAGAAAAAAAAATGATACGATAACTTCTCGGAAAAGATTTAGAGGACTGCCAATTAACTTTTATTGGTGAAAAATTGGCTGATGGTTGTGTTCATAGAGTGGTAGCCGAAACTTGTAAATAATAAAAGCATCTTAAAGCATGTAGTTGTCATGAAATATTTTCTTTTCATTTTTACCTTTAATTTTTTTTTTACTTTTAACTTATTTGTTACTTATTTTTTTCTCTTACTTCGAGTTTAAGAAAAAACGGTTAGCTTTTGTTTCCATTTATGCCATTTACTTTTTATACTTTTTACTTACTAGTTAGCTACTCTTTTCTTTTCTTAGAGTTTAAGAAAAAAGGCGTCTTAAAGCATACATGTGTCATGGAAATATTTTTTTTCACTTATGTCTTTTACCTTTTCTACTTTTTACTTGTTATTTACTCTTTTTTATTACTTCGAGCTTAAGAAAAAACAGTTAATTTTTATTTCTAATCATGTTTGTCACATTTTATACTTTTTACTCACTTATTATTTACTCTTTTCTCTTACTAGACTTTAAAGAAAAACAGTCTAATTTGTATTTCTATTTATACCCTAATCTTTTGTATATATATACTCTTTATCTTTTGTACTTTTACTTGCTTTTTATTTATGGCAGGTCTAGTCTCCGAATTTTTTAAGCTGTGTGGTAGAAGAAAATGAATTAAAAAAATAAGGGAAAAAAAGGCATATAACCCAGGTGAGAAAAATAGATAAAGAAAATGATGATTTTTTTTTTTTTCTTATTGTGTTTGGTACGGGTTCTCACTTATAATCAATACTTTAAAATCCCCTAACTAATGTATTCCCTCCTCTGTTCAAACCCACCAAACAATTATGCATATCAAAATCCTTCCACTAATCCCCTTATCACTCTCCTTTCCACTTTTCAGTTTTCACTCATGTTAAAAATCTCTAAAAATTGTGGCAATTCGATCCCAATTTAATGAATTATATGAAACAAGAAAAATATAGTACGTATAAATTCAATTTTTATAATAAAAAAGTAGACTAGTGACTCATAATCTCAGTACAATCAAAGTAGCAGAAGCATGCAAATCCAATGAATTGATCAAGGTGGCAAGCGCCGAGCTTTGCTTCCTCCACCTTATGCATTTTCTGTGACACTTTGGGCTGCTAAGACACATGCCAGACCACGTCGTGCTTCGCTTGTGGCACAGTTTTGCTTCTGCCATATTTGATATCTCTGTTCGCATATTAGACCATCAAAACTATATATTATATATGAGATTAACATTGTAGATATTGTCTATATGTGTGTATGAACTCATGTCATCAGAAACAAAATCTACCTGAGAGGACTCTTCTTTTAGGACGTTTTTCTAGATGAATGTTGTCCTAACTAAAAATGGGGTACAAACGGACATTGCATTTCAAAACTTTATGAGGATATTTAACAACGATTTGTTAGAAACACTATCTACATTAGGGAAAAAACTCCTCTACTTAGAAGAAAAAATAAATATATAAAAAAAAACAACTCTACCCCTTTCAATTTTAGTGATATTTAGTATATGAGTTCTGCAACAATGTAAATCCATAATTTTAATTCTGTTACAGTGTTTTTTTCTTATAATTTTAATTTATGGGCTGAGAAAAAAAGTGAATTTTGAGGGTTAGGGTTGAGAAAAAAGATGTTCGGGTCAGAATTGGGTCGACCTGAAATTGACACGAAAAACACGGGGTAATTTCGGGTTGGACCCGCCTAACCCGAACACGACACGAAACTCGTAAAAAACTAAAAAATACATATATTTTTCATTACATATTTTAAATTTTATTATGAACTTGTGATATTGTGATAGTTATACTCAAAATCTTATACTATTATTTGCTTAATTTCAATGGATGTTATTGTAAAATCTTATACTATTAATATGTAAAAAACTAAATAAAAGTATACAATTTTCGTGTCATTTTCGGGTTCACGGGTCAATTTCGTGTCACGGGTCATTTTCAGGTCGTGTCGTGTCAATTCGTAAAGTGGTCGTGTCGTGTTCGTGTTACGGTTTTTAAAAAATTTCGTGTCACGGGTCGTGTTCGGGTTGACTGTAAAATTAAAAATAAACGATCAAAACACGACACGAACACGACACGTGACACGAATTGCCACCCCTACATCAGTCTCGTTCATTTCACCGATTCGAGTTTTCAGTTTTAGGTTTCTACAGTAAAAAGCTCTTAAAAAACGTCACATCTAACTTTTTCTGCTACAGTGAAAAGCTCTCAGAAAATGTCACATCTCAGTTCAAATTAAAAACTCGAATCCGCGAAATAAAAGAGGCATAAATCTCTTCATTTAAATACATATATAAGAAAAAACAATTATCGTGGCTTTCATGTACATTTTACAGAAAAAAAATAATTAATAATTTTCGTATCTTTAAAACTCATTAAACTAAAAAGAAAAATCTCACACACATCAAGAAAATAAAGAAGCATATTAAATAAAATAAAACAAAAACAAATAAAAAGGAGAAAAAGGCATAAATACCATTTAAGGTGATACAAAATATTATTTATGTCACACTCCATTAAAAAATTCAATTAATAAAGAGAAAATAAAAAGCCACAATAACACCAAATTATTTAGAATGAGATAAATAATATATTTGCAAAAGGTTATGACAAAAAAAAAAAGGGAGAAATAGGGAAATAGGCCAAGACTTGAGATGAATTAAAATTAATAGGTCAATATTTTACGTAAGTTAATAAATAGGCCAAATTACTGTTTTCGTCCATAACTTGTCTGGTTATGAACCATAACTTGACAAGTTATTGTCCATAAATCACGGTTTTTGTTCATAACTTGTCTGCCTATAAACCATAATTTGACAAGTTTGTCCATAACTTATATGGTTATGAACCATAACTTGACAAGTTATGGCCTATTAATTTCTATAACTAAAAGTTTGCCTATATACTTTCTTAGGCTTTTCATATTGGCCTATTTTCTACTATTTCTGAAAAAAAAACTCTATGGTTTGGGTTTTTGTGTTTTTAAAAAAAAACAGTAACAAACAAAACATGTAAAAGCATATTTAG